TTAACAGAGAATGAGGGCGGTACGCGTGACCCGCGCGGCACGTGACGCGTTAAACCAGAGGCAACGAGACGTGTTTTCCGTTCTGGCAAAAGGTTCGCGAGAGCGAGCAAGGATTCGAGGTTATTTTCGTTATCAACGTTTACCTAGAGCTAATTACGTAACTGATTCGCACGCGCGTTTTCGGGTCACGTTAACGAGAATCTGTTATAAATGTGCAGTTCACAAATCCTTGACATATCGAAGCGACGGACACTCGCAACGTATCCTTATCACATTGCCAATTCGTCGAACCCTTCAGACTATTTTTTTTATAATTTATTGCTTATTAATTTCACTCGCCATGTGGCAATAAAAAAATATTAGAAACTTCGACGAAATTTGAAAAATGGTTATGAATTAGGAAAATGAATGACTATAATGCTAATTAGGCTTGTAGAAAATACAATTATTTTTCTGAAAATCACATTGGAAAATTCGATTGGTAATGCGATAAGGAAAAGTACGTACATTTTGTCGGAGAAGGAAAGCGACTCGAAATCATAACGACCGAGTCTGTGTGTACAAAACGATTAACTCTCGATAGTCTTTTATACTTGGGGAACTTCGCGGCCGATTTAGAGAGATTTTAGAGAGATTTTAACGTTTAAGTTAAACTATATTGTACAAAAAAAAAAAAATGCGAGTTTCATTTTTTCGAAAATAAGAGAGAATGAACGGAACTGCGTAGAACAGTGTTTCCCAATCTTTCCTCCTGACGATACGCTTTCAATTGAATTCCGTGACACGCCGTCGTTTCTAAAGTCACTTTCGAAAGAAACTTCTAAATGATATATGAAAATTTTTAAACGTCGAAACGTTTAAAGATCGGGAAACACTGGGATAGAAGATTTAAAGTTCTCAGTTATATTCGAACGGTGGTGTATATTTTACTAATCTCGTCGACTCTCAGCTGTCGTGTGTTGCTAAGGTATTGTGACGATGAAATAAAAAAAAAAGCGATACGTCTGTTTGTTCCTTTACTAAAGTAAGTACCGATGCCGTACTGTATGTTTAGTTATAGGTTACCGTTACACCTGTCTCCGTAGATTTAGTAAGTATTATACGTGTCAAGATGATAGATTTATAATAACGTGTAATAATGTCAACAATAAAGTACTGTTAAGTATGAAACGTTCTGTCCGCTTTGTTCTTACCTCAATATTGGAACGTTCATTGGAATAATATAAAACGGTAAAAATAAACTGGCACTCGTAATTCATTGGACGTTATAAAATATTTACATTGCTCTTCACTTAGCTGTTAACATTAGATTGCCCAAGAAAGTAATTTTGACTGCTTTTGAG